CCAGTTTTGGGCTATGTGTTGGATTGGGTTCTCTAGAGAAACACAAAAACCAGCAAAGTATATATATATATATATATATTTATAGAGAGAGAGAGAGAGAGAGAGAGAGAGATTTATCTTAGATAAATGGCTCACAAGCGTGTAGAAGCTGACAAGTTCAAGCTGAAAAGTTCGTCTCTGGAGGGGGATGGGGCCCAGGGCCGTCTGGCTTTCACACGCACGGCAGAGGAGTGCAAGTCACAAAGTTCGTCTCTGGAGAGAGATGGGGCCCGGAGTTGTCTGGTTCCCTCAAGCGCAGCAGAGCCGGGAGAATCAAAACTGACACTCAGGGTCACCGTTCCCAACAAAGAAAGAATCCAAAAGGCTCCTCTGGGGCGCGCAGCGAGCTGCTTGCTCCAGGAAGCATATATCTGGAATGCCGTTTTTCCAGTTTGTTCCTGGGATAGTGTTACAGGTAGGCCACACCCCTGGGGAAACTCCCCCTAGACTGACCGGCCGCTTAGGACGCAGTCATGTGATACATCATGGGAACCACCACTCACAAGTGAAGTCCAGCCAAGTTGACACATCTTCAACTATCACAGGCTACTACAAATAAAGCTGCTGTAAACATTCTTATATAAGTGTTTGTATGGACAGACGCTTTTATTTCTCTTGGGTAAATACCAACGGGTGGGATTTCTGGAGTGCATAGAAGACATTGTCTTTTTTTCCACAGAACCACTGGTAAGTTTGAACTGTCAACATTTTGGTTAGCAGCACAATGCCTTAGCCACAGTGCCACCTCACAACTGGATCAATAACAAATGGAGCAACCATCATGATAAATGGAGAAAAGATTGAAGTTGTCAGGGATTTCATTTTACTTGGATCCACAATCAACACTCATGGAAGCAGCAGTCAAGAAATCAGACGTTGTATTCCACTGGGCAAATCTGCTGCAAAAGACTTCTTTAAAGTGTTAAGAAGCAAATATGTCATTTGAAGACTAAGGTGCACCTAACCCAAGCTATGGTATTTTCAGTCGCCTCATATGCATGTAAAAGCTGGGCAATGAATAAGGAAAACCCAAGAAGGGTTGATGGCTTTGAATTGTGATGTTGGTGAAGAATACTGAAAATACTATGGACTGCCAAAAGAATAAGCAAATTTGTCCTGGAAGAAGTGCAGCCGGAATGCTCCCTTAGAAGTGAGAATGGCCAGACTTGGTCTCACTTACTTTGGTCATGTTGTTAGAAGGGACCATTCCCTGAAGAAGGGTATCATGCTTGGTAAAGGAGGGGATCAGAGAAAGAGGGGAGAACCCTCAACAAGATAGATTAACACAGTGGCTGGAATGATGGTCTCAAGTATAGAAGGGATTGTGAAGATGGTGTATGACAGAGCAGTGTTTTGTTTTGTTGTACATAGGGTCATTATGAGTCGGAACTGACTCAATGGCACCTAACAACAACAACATAGTAGATACAGATTTAACACTGTACAAAACTGCTAATCTGTTTTCCAGAGGTTTTGTGCCATTTTACATTCTCACTTGCAGTGTATGAGTTTAATTTGCTCCCCATTCTTGCCAACACTCAGTTTGGTTTGGAATTTTAGTGATTCTATTTGATATGGTTATTATTTGCATTTCCTTGATGACTAATGGTGTTATTGTCCATTCGTATGTCTTCTTTTGTGATGTTTGCATTCAAAATTTTTGCATAGTTAATACAAATTTAGTTGTTTTCATATTCTGGTTGCCTATATATGTGGTATAAATGTTTTCTTTTGGTCTGTGACTTGCTTTTTTTTTTTTTAAAATGATCTCTTTAGAACAGTAAAGGAGCCCTGGTGGTGCAATGGCTAAAACACTTGGCTGCTAACCAAAAGGCCAGTGGTTAGAAAATACCAGCATCTCCAAAAGAAAGATGTGGCAGTCTGCTTCCATTAAGATTTATAGCCTTGGAAGCTTTATGTGGCAGTTCTACTGTGTCCCCTAGGGTCACTATGAGTTGGAATTGACTTGACAGCAGAGGTTAGAAGTGTAAAAGGTTTTAATTTGGATGAAGTCCAATTTATCAATATTTTCTGTTATAATTTATGCTTTTTGCTTTCTATCTAAGAAAACTTTGTCTAAACTGACCACAAAGATTTTATTCTATGTTTTCTTCTAGAAGATTTAGAGCTTTAAGTTTTACATTCAAGCCTGTGATCCATTTGAATTATTTTTTGTGTAGGATGGGACGTAGGAATTGATGTTCATTTTCTTTCCAGAGCAGTATCTAGTTGTTCCAACACCATTTTTTCCAAAAGACTTTTCATGTCTCATTGAAGTGCTTTGACAGTTTTGTCGAAAATCAATTGATGCTGCTATGTGTAAGCAGAATGATATGAGCTATATCCAAATATTTTATCCATAAAAGTCAGTAGAATACCTGAAAAAGCTTACCAAGCATTAAAAATTATAATTTACATGGTTATGAATCTCATCAAATACCGTTTACTTTTTAGTTATTCCCCTATGTATATTCCAGAATTAATGAAGTAATTTTCTTTGGTGCTAAACCCACATGAAAGGTAACATCCACATTATCCATATTATGATAGCAGAAATGATTGCATTTATCACTTAAGTGTACAGGCTTTCTGGTGAAGAGAAGCCTTAGTCTAGATACTTGGCTCTGCTAACAGCCAGAGATTCCAAAATTTTCTTCAAATGCAAATACACTCCAAAGTGACACAAAAAGAAAAAGAAAAAACAAACCCAAACTCCTCAATTTTTCTAAAATACATATGTTTTTGTTGTTGTTATGTGCCGTCGAGTCAGCCCTGACTCATAGCGACCCCTCCTTGGGTTTCCAAGGCAGTATCACTACAAAAGTAGATTGCCCTACCTTCCTTCTGAGGAGTGGCTGGTGGGTTTGAACCACCAGCCTTCTAGTTAGCCATCAAGTGCCTTAGGCACTATGCCACCAGAGCTCCTAAAATAAATATATATACATGTGTGTGTAAATATATGCATATATATATATTCATACACACACAGAGATCTGTAGCATTGATAACAACATGCTTGCCATTTAACTTTCTACATTAGGAGTGCCAATTTAAGCCAATATTTATTCTGTGACAAAGAGAGAAATGTGGAAAAGAAAACCCAGTGGCTATAAAAACAGAGATCTAAAATTTTAATGATTTAAAAACAGCCTCTACATACGAGATGGCAAGAGAGTAATACAGATTGAACATTATAGCTTTGAAAACTTGAAATGGCACCACTTAGCTTAGAACAAGTTTGTCATCTCCTAAGAAATACATACTATTCAACAAAATCTATAAGGACATCTTTTTCATGTTTTTCAAGTGTTGTTGATTTTCAGCAACCCTCTTCTATCCTACACAGTTACTTGTCATGTAACAATACAACTTTTTGCTTTTGGCAGAGCAGAATTTTGAGAATTATAATAGCAGTTGTTTTGAAAAGCACCTTGTATGGTAAATTCCACTGTTTTTTTTTTTTTCTTTCTTTCTTTTTTAAAAATCACATTTAGACTATGCATTGCTCCTTCTTAAATCCTTCCTTGTTCCAACATCTTGGCTGTTCAAAACAAGCAATTCAGGCAAGGTGTATATTGCATTATAAAAAACATGTCTCCAAATAGGTTAGAATAAAACCATTAAATAAGAATTGGGCTAAAATACCATAAATAATGTGCTTCTTGACTTGGTAATATATGAGCACATTTACCCATGAGGTAGGAAATATTTCATTCCCCCATGATGAATGTGATGGCTTGTGGTGTGTCTTTGCTGTGTTCGCACAGACTGAGTGAAGATATGTAGGATGTTGTAACCTAGATGTGAGATTGGGGGAAGGGACTGCATATGCAAGGTCATTGGCCAGAGAGAGTTGTAAGATGAAATGGACTCTGCAGCTGCTCTGTGTGAAGGGTCTGCAATGTGAGTCTTATGGAGGGTGCAACATCAAACAATGAATTCTCTTTAGACTAGAGAATAGAGTGTGGCCTGATGGCTTTAAAGTTCAGATGACCAAAGAACTGGCCAGTTTTCCTCAGGTAATGGGAGTTGTAGTACCTGAGTGGATGTTGAGAGTCAGTAAGGCACCTACAACTGTCAGATGGAGCCATTCTTCCTTGTTGTGGACAATCGTCTGATATGTCTTTATAAATTTCTGCTACAAACAATATAGTTTCTGAAAATCTAAAAACATCCTTTGGAAAACCTCATGGCTGAATCACTCACAAATACAGATAAACAAGTAGCCACAGAGAAACACACGCTCTCATTTTATTGTGGCTTCTCTCAGTGAGGAAACATCTCAACCAGAACTGTGGAGATGGCCTCAAAGTGCATAGGTCTCTTCTCTTTCCAGCACCTAAAATATCAGATCTTATAATAACATAGGCTTTTCGTAACTCTTTGAGGGCTTTTCCAACTGGAAGTGGGGACATTTTGCCCAATGTGTACAAGATGGTCAGTTTTGGAAGGGGTTACAAAACAAGAATAAGCCATGTCATGCTTCATTATTTGGGAGAAGAACACTTGCAGGTATTCTCTGCTTTCCAGATTTGGGAGTGACCAGTTCAGGATAACGACAAGTATATGTCCAACACTCTCACAATTAGCTGGCATACTTTCTAAAAATTATGCAGCATTTGGAGGTGCTTATTAAGGTGCTTCTTAATTCATGTTTTTTAATGGAAGGCATCTGACAAACACTCACAAACGAACATGAATACACAGGCATACACAAGCAAACAGAAAAGTTTCTGTACACTTTATATCTCAGACACTAATATGTATACATGAGAACCAAACAACAACAAAAAGATTATCCATCTCCAGCTCCCTGAATTTCTGAAAGTTGTCTAACCCATAAAGTGTATTTAAATCATTTCATATAAAATATCTACAAAAATAGATAGCATTTACAAAAACCAGATAATATTTCCAGTTTTCCTTAGAACCCACCTAGTCCCCTTTTGTGCCTTTTCTCCTCAGAATGTTGCCATCTCCAGCAAAGAGCACTTGAACAGTTGAGCATTTCTAGACAGGTCTGTCACTTGATGTACCATTTCCTGCAGGGCAGTCGTGCTGGGGTAATGGAGGGCAGCCATCTTGGTTGCCATAACTATAGTCTTGAGCTGTTCGCATAGCTGGTTGCTGGAGTTCATCACTTTGTTGCGAATGTCCTGGGCAGCAACCTGCCTTGTCAACGTGTCTCCAATGAACACCAGTTTGTGTGCACTTAGGATGACAAACTTGCTGTGTGCCACGAAGATCCGTGGGGGCTGGGCTGAGCTGACACAACTGAAGAGAGCATCAATGGCATTGAGAAGGGAAATGTAATGGGTCTCGCATTGGTCATAGTAGAAACAGAGCAACTGCCTATCCTGAGGACTCACACTGTTGCTTGTGGCTGGGAGGCTCTGAGAAGGCTTCCACTTTGAGATGTCATTCTCCACGGGCTTTGTGATTTCTTGTTCCAGTAGCTGGAACTGATTTAGCTACAAGGAAGAAAACAATAGATTTCATTAAAGGTAAGGCAGTGTAATGGAAATGATCCTGGGCTTGGAGTTAAAAGTCATGGATTTAATCTTTAATCAGTATCAAACACTAACTAGAGGAAGCGTTGGTCAATTTGCCTTATTTTCCTAAATTGTAAAATATAGAGGTTGAGAAAGATGATATCTAAGGAATCCTCTGAGAAGGCAAGAATTCTAGCACTGCACCACCACTGCTGCCCTCTTGCATTCCAGGTGGGAGATCTGGGTTTGATTCCCAGCTAATGCATCTCATGCAGAGTGGAAGCTTGTATGTTGCTATGATGCTGAACAGTTTTCAGCAGAGTGTTCACACAAAGACTAAGAAAGATGTGGTGACCAACTGTTGAAAAACCAGCCAATGAAAACCCTATGGAGTCCAATGGTCTGATCCTGTTGTGCATGGGATTGCCATGAGTTGGAGGCCAATGCAACAGCAGCTAACAACAAAGGAATCCTCCAGCCCAGCGCTTCCGTGATTGATTCATGGTTGGAAGGCAGCATGTTATAGTCATTGAGCACATGGACTGTGGTTTAAGCCCAGCTCTGTCATTTGTACCTTTATGAAGATTAAATAAATTAGTATTTATAAAGCACTTGGAATAATGTGTGGTAAATCATAGGTGGTACATAAATGTTTGTTGTTGTTGTTATGTGCCGTCGAATCAGACCCGACTCATAGCGACCCCTCCTTGGGTTTCTGAGGCAGTATCACTATGGAAGTAGATTGCCCCATCTTCCTTCCAAGGAGTGGCTGGTGGGTTTGAACCGCCAGCCTTCTGGTTAGCAGTCAAGTGTCTTAGGCACTACACTACCAGAGCTCCCACATAAATGTTTATTAAGTGGTAAATGATAGTGAAGGAAAGCCATATATATAGTGATCTCTTTGTCAAGCATGTCACTGACAGTCTCTTCCTCTTTGGGGAATACCTTTACCCTGTCTCTTCAAGATGCTTAGATGAAATGACTATTCATGGACCTTTTCTACTTCTCCTGCTCTTTCTGGAGAGATTTATAGATATGTTATAACCCAACAGAGTCCCTGGGTAGTGGAAATGGTTAACACTCTTGGTAGCTACTAGAAAAGTTAATAGCACTAGTCAACCTAGAGGTGCCTTGGAAGAAAGGCCTGGTGATCTACTTCCAAAAAATCAGCTATTGCCAGCCCTATGGAGCACAGTTCCTCTGACACACATGGGGTCACCATGAATTGGAATCAACTTGACAGCAACTGTTGTTTTCTTTTTAATAATCCAACACTACAGGAAAGAATAAAGCACTTATGGTAAAGGATATCCCTAAAGAATTCTGGATGTAAATTGTGCATCATAATAATTAGTGCACAGGGTTGTTGAAGAAAAAGGGACCAGAAGAGTCAGACTGAATGATTATTAGCTTTTTTCCTTCTCTTCACTGCCCCCAATTAGTACATTACTTAAATTGAAATGGCAGTAATTTCTAGCTATTCCATCATACTTTAGGCAAGACCTCTCTTTTGCAGATAAGGACTATCCATCACCTGAGCTTAGGATTCAGCCATTTGCTTACCCCGAGGTATGGATGAGTCAGAGCAGGGATAACCTCACCCCACTTCCTCCCTTAGAAATGTCAGTCAGCTCTACTTTTCTACAGAATCCATTTTCTTCTTAGGAATTACTATCATTTCAACAAGTTACCTAAACCCTGTGCTCTTGCTTGCACAAATGCAAGGCAAAAATAAGCATACATAAGGTGATTTACCAAAGTCTTTAATTATAATGAATTCTACTTCATATAGATTTTGCTTTTGTAGGAATCCCTGGGTGGTGTAGAGGATTAACATGCTCAGCTGCTAACCCAAAAGTTAGAGGTTCGAATCCACCAAGAGGTGCCTTGGAAGAAAGACCTGGTGATTTACTTCTGAAAAATCAACCACTGAAAGTGCTATGGGGAACAGTTCTACTCTGACACACGGAGTTGCTATGAGTCAGTGTTGATTCAACAGCCGCTGTACTGGATCCTTTTGCAAATATGTTCAGAAATATCATCTCATTAGATGGGGGGAGTACTATATATTTCCTAAAGAAGTGCCTAAAGTTCAGAGACATTAAATGGCTTGTCTAAGATCACAGAGTTGTGTAGTCAGAAAGCAGGGATTAGAACATATGTTTCTGGAGTGCATCACTTATTCTGCTACGTGGCATTGTACTTCATCTTATAAGGCTTGTAAATCCTCCACGTATTTCTCTTAACTTCTGTGTCTTTGTACTAGAAATACCCACCATTTATCTGCCTTACTCATAGCCAACTTTTGAAAGAATCTGCCTTGGCCAAAGCTCTCATACCCTTAGACTAGAACAAGGACAGTCAAATCGTAGGCTTGTGTTGCTGGCTAAAAGATAGATGGATGGATGGATGGATGGATGCATGGATGGAAGGAAGGAAGGAAAAGAAAGAAAGAAAGGAAAAGAAGGAAAGAAAGGTAGGTAGGTAGACAGAGATGGCCTAGCAGACTCTCTTTTGTAGGACATTGATGAACCATAGAAGAGAGCTAACCATCAGCTAAGGAAGCTGGAACAAAAAATCATCATATAGAAAGGGTTTTGGGTACCCCTTTAAGGGTTCTGTAAAAGATAAAGTTATAGGGGAGCCACACATATAGGCAAGCAGAAGAAACTGTCAGAAAATAGGGGAGACTGAAGCAGATTTACATAGCAAAGCAAAGGAAGTACAAGAGAGCAAATTTACAGTTCTAGTTCTCCCCAGATTTAACTATATCTTCATTTTCTGATCTTGAATCTGCTTTGGCTAGCCTGAATGAGTCTTGTTCCTTGAGACCAACAACCTTAACCCAAGTAGTCCTAATCTGTTAGATGTGCAGCTAGCCTGGAAAAATTTCTGTCTGGACATCATCCAGTTACATTCAGCTGGATTAGCAAGGCCATAAACTTTCTCTTTGTTCCTATAACCTACTGCATGCCTCAGAGTTTATTTATGCCCAAGTGTGCTGGAAGGATCAAAATCCTAATCTTCTGATGTTGTGCCTTCCCTGCTAAGTGGGAAATCTTTTCAACACCAGGTAGTTGGTGTTCTGATGACTTTACCTGATGATGTTCCAGTTGCATCTTGTTCTGTTTGATGATATTTTCTTTTTCCAACAGCTCTTTCTGCTGCCTCTCAAACTCCTCCTTACCCTATTATTTTTCAACATAAAGATACCATTACATCATCACTGTGATTCACTTATGTTAAAAATTTCATTGACAAATTTATAAATATGTTTTCATTTCCCACTGCCGTGGCAATTCCCCAAATGCCCATTTAGGCCCAGTGAGACCCAGACAAGCATGGTCTATTATCAAGCTTCTTGTTGAGTCAGTGTAGGTGAGGGCTGAAAACTGGAAATGCCTTCCATGTGGGGTACTATGCTCTCTGCTACACCTTACCATTTTCTGAGAACTACCCATAACCCCTTTCAAACCTCTTTATGAAGTAATATCTCCCAGGGTTCTTTCGTAATAGATTATATGTGAACCATAAACCTTCAAACGTAGACCTCAATGTGGTACACATTTCATTTCTAGTTTCTCTGAATCTTCTATACATCTCTACTCCAAAGTAGCACTTCTCGGCCTACAGAGTTGGACAAGCAAAGAGGCCAATGTTCAATGCCTCCATCACAATGTTCAATGCCTCCATTCACTCCTACACCTTTCCCCAGCACTGGGTGTAGCTCAGCAATTCCTCCCCACATCTCCTTTCTTCCACTCGAAGAGATTTGTTGTTGTTGTTGCTGTTATGTATCCTCAAGTTGGCTCCACCTCACAGCAACCCTATGTACAACAGAACAAAACTGCCTAGTTCTGCACCATCTTCACAATATTTGCTATGCTTGACCTCATCAGTGCAGCCACTGTATCAGTCAATTTCATTGAGGGTCTTCCCCTTTTTCACTGACCCTCTATTTAAGTTGCTTTAATAGTTCACAGTATAATCCATGGCTCTCATTTAATTAAAAAAAAAAAAAGAAGAAGAAGAAATTATGCCAAATTTTAAATTATAGATCTCTACAGAGTGTTTTGGGAGCTCTGATGGCGTAGTGCCTAAGGCATTTGACTACTAACCAGAAGGCTGGTGGTTCAAACCCACCTGCCACTCCTTGGATGGAAGGTTTGGCAATCCACTTCTGTACTGATACTGCCTTGGAAACCCAAGGAAGAGTTGCTATGAGTCAGATCCAATTCTACGGCAGTGGTTTGTTTTTATCGAGTGTTCTAAGGAGTTCTGGTGCTCCTTACATACCTAAGGCATTAAACTGGCAACCAGAAATTTCAACAGTCACTCTACAGAAGGTTTTGCTGCCTTGGAAATCCAATGGGGGTCACTATGAGTCAGAATTGACTTGATGGCAGTGAGTTTTTATTATTTTTTTAATAGAGTGTTTTAAGGAGTTCTGGTGGTGTAGTAGTGGTTAAGGCACTTGGCTGCTGCTAATCAAAAGGTTGGTAGTTCAAACCCACCAGCTGCTCTATGGAAGAAAGATGAGGCAATCTGCTTCCATAAAGATTTACAGTCTTGGAAACACAATGGAGGTCGCTATGAGTCAGATTGATTAGATGGCAGTGAGTTACAGAGTGTTTTAAGGAGCTCTGGAAGCACAATGGTTAAGAGCTTGGCTGGTAACTGTAAGACTGATGGTTAGAACCCAACAGTCACTCCAAGGAAGGAAAGAGCTGTTGATCTGCTCCCATAAAGAGTATAGCCTAGGAAACCCAATGGGGCAGCTCTGCTCTGTGATATAAGTTTGCTATGAGTCAGAATCAACTCAAAATGCACAACAACAAATAGAATATTTTAATCTTCCAAAATGAAAAGGCAAGCTGCCAGGATACCAGGTCAACCTGGTGGAATTGCCACTTATAGGAAGCAGATCGTGACTGCCCAATTTCCCATACACAGGTTAAACTGTAAGCCAACTGGAACATACCCAATGTTCCCCTATGTATGTCTGAGGTAATTAAGTTTCTCTGCAACAAGTACACACACACATACATATACACACACAAACACATGCTGCAGGGCTAGAGGGGAACTTAGAAATTCTCTAGTCTATAGGTTCCCCTTTTTCCTAACAGTGGAACCCTTTTTTCAAATAAAATATATTAGGGTATGACATAATAAAACACAAAATAGAAGTGGAGCTGATCATAAGAGGGTCCATTATCCTATTTGTTTAATGTTGTTGTTATGTGCTGTCGAGTTGTTTAATGTTGTTGTTATGTGCTGTCGAGTTGGATCTGACTCATAGTGAACCCCTCCTTGGGTTTCCAAGGAAGTATCACTACGGAAGTAGATTGCCCAACCTTCCTTGTGAGGAGTGGCTGGTGGGTTTGAACCACCAGCCTTCTGGTTAGCAGTCAAGTGCCTTAGGCACTATGCTATCAGAGCTCTTTATTTTCTGCTTATCTGAAACATAGCAATTGGATTTAATCCAACCCCATACGTTATTCATTTTTACAAGTGAGGAAATTAAGGCAGAGGCTAAAGATGTTAAAGAACTTGGTCACACAATTAGTGTCACTGAAAGGTCTAGAGCCTAGGACTCAGGACTCTGTCCAGTACTCTTCCTTCTGTACAACACTGCCTCCAACTGACTTGGTTAACATTGATTACGTTCTCTTCATTGGTAGCCCAGCTTTATAGCCTTAGGGGCATTAGTTCCAGGCTCCCTAAGTGTGAACGTAGGTGTTTTATGAGTTTGGATTCTTTACCTGTAGGTGGACATAGTCATAATCATCCATCCAGCTCTTCTCAGAGCCATCACTGCTGCTACAATCAGGGTGCTGGTCCTTGCCCAGGCTTGGGGACAATCCCTTATTGTGGGCCTGGGCCTTGTTGGAGCCACTGTGTGGGTACTCAGTTGAATTCATGATGCTCTCAGGTCCGTTCTTTAGATGCAAGCTGCCAGGGCCTAGTCTGAAGATGGCCTCTGCATTAGTGTTGATGGTTGTGGTGAGCTGTTTGGCATCATCAGGCACTGTCTTTGCCACCATCACAAACCTGTCCAGATCATCACACTTGTTTTGGGGCTTGTTGATGGCCAGGATATTCAGGGACCAGCTGCACTCATTTAAGTCATGACTGGTTTGACTTAGAATCTGGTGAGAGTCTTCGACTCTTTGGAGCTCCCGCTTCATTTTGTTATGGAGGATGAGTTCTGGAAGGCAGGAGGCATTTGCTAGAGCTCCCTTGGCAAAGAGGAGGTACTCCCTCAGAAACAATTCCACTTTTTCCACTGCCATGCGTATCTCATTGATGTGTTTCTCCATGTATCCATAACAACGCCAGTCTGTGGTGACCAGTGCCATGAGGCTGGAGACACCCATCTCCAGGGTCTGCTGGAGCCGGTGGAGTCTCTCAATAGCTGTGTCTGGATCCAAGAGGAGCCGTTTGTCTTGAGATGGGGAGGCTGACAACGAGGACTCCTTTGAGGTGGTGGAAGATGTAGACATGTTACTCCTGGTACTGCCTGTACTGGAGAAAGATAACCGGTTGATTCCATCCACCACATCCTGAGACCCTTTAGTGTCTGGCGGATTATGTAGCGGAACATCGTAAACACCATCCCTTTCTTCAAGATTTGCTTTCTCATTGGTTTCTGCTGGTGGTTCCAGAAACTGAACTCCTCGTGGGACATCATATGCATCGCTCTGAGTGCCCACCGGTGGTCCTAGTGGTGAAGGTCCATGATTCAGGGACATGCTCTGGTGCCTGCGGGACACCAGCTCAGCAGCTCCTGGAACATCACAGTTGTATTTTATGTTAAGGTCCTTCCCTACTGACTTGGTGGTGGCTGGAGGGATGTCATAAACTCCCTCCAGTCTGACTTCTGGCCTTCCAACTTGTCTCATCGGAGGGGGGAAATCATACTCTTTCCCCCTAAGTCCTGCTTCATCTTGATAAGCAGAAGGTGGAATGGCATACATCTTAAATACAAAACAGAAGTTGGTAAAAAAATGAAACTCTTAATTGTTGAGTTGGCTTATGTGAACATGAACATACTGAACAGGACATTAAAATGAACCCCAGAATTCACAGTCCTTTTTGTGACTCCTCTTCCCACTACTGGTAAGTACTTGTCAAGGCTCTGCTTGGCTCTGCTCTCATATCACTCAATCTTCTGATAAGAACATCCATTCCCATGGTCTCAATGGTAACTGGGATGTGGAACCCTCTCCTCTGGGTCCCAGCCCATATTTTTGACCATTTCCTAGCTATTTCTCCTTGCTGTTCCAATGCAAGAGGCAGGTTCTGCATTAACATAACCCAGAAAGTATCAGAAGTCCTGAGGTCTCTTCCCAGGTCCACCAAGTTATTAAAACTTGATGCTGAATAACCCTTTAAATGCTCTGAGCCAACAGTTCCCTTATCTGTAAAGATAACAATATTTCCCATGCAGGCCTACCTAGACAGTGTCAGAGTGAATTAAATTAGTTAACCCATATCAATGGACCAAGTAAGCTGTAAAACCCTATATGAGATACATTATTATTATTTGTCAAATCAAACAAATTACCTTCCTGTCCAACTGGATCTCCTTATTGACTACTCATTTTTAAAAATTTTAAGTGGGGCCTCTAAATAAGGTGCAAACAGTTAAGGATTCAGCTACTACTCAAAAGGTTAGAGATTTGAGTCTACCCAGAGGTACCTCAGAAGAATGGCCTGGCAATCTACTTCCAAAAAATCATCCATTAAAAACCCTATGGATCACAGTTCTACTCTGACACACATGGGGTTGCCATGAGTCAGAGTGAACTTGACACCAACTGGTAAAGAGTTATCTTTAATTATTATTGCCTTTCATTCCTTTCATTTATTCTCTCACCAAAATGAGATCTTCCCACTTTAGGTTTGCCCTTCTCATTCTATCCCAATAAGCCAACACACACACACACACACACACACACACACACAAAGACAACACACACACACACAAAGACAACACACACACATACACACACACACACCTTTTTGCCACTCTGTAATAGCTTACTAGGAGTCCCTGGGTAGCACAAATGGTTAAGTGCTTGACTGCTAAGCACATGGTTGGTGGTTCAAACCCACCCAGAGGTGCCTTGGAAGACAGGTCTGGTGATCAGCTTCTGAAAAATCAGCCTCTGGAAACTCTATAGAGCAGTTCTACTGTTCACACATGGGGTCACTATGAGTTGAAATTTATTCAACAGAAATTAACAACAGTAGCTAACTACTTACCCCTTTAGTAGGAGGAATGTCATATACCCCTTGAGGTTTTATCTCTCCCACCGGCACTGAAAACACAGGGCCTTTCACTGATGAGGGAGGGATGTCGTACACCTGAAGAGAAACACTTGAATTACCCAGAATGAAATTTTTAATCTTTCTTTTTTTAATACTACTGTGCTTTTGATTATGGATTGATTTACCAGCTGATGTGTAGGCTTGGTATCTGGTAGTGTCCTGTGTGACCAAGGGCTGGTGGGATTTTTCATTTTAGATTTTGTATTCCTTGACCTAGATTGACTATAAACATGATCTTACTTGAAATATTTACCCTGTCTGAACTTTAAACTGTAGTTTAAGTTTTAATACTTCATGAAAAAAACTGTTAAAATGATAAAGCAACAAAAATTTTTTCAGATGAAAGACCAGACTTTCCTGATGAAGCAAATCTAGAAGACAAAATTTATATAGTGTTAGCTAAAAGAGTTCCTGGAAGGACACCTAAGTAAAGGTTCATAATAAATATCCATTTGTGGTGTAGTGCTTGAGGCACTTGACTGCTAACCAGAGGGCTGGCAGTTCAAACCCACCAGCCACTCCTTGGAAAGATGAGGTAATCTACTTCCATAGTGATATTGCCTCAGAAACCCAAGGAGGGGTCGCTATGAGTCGGGTCTGACTCGATGGCAGTCAGTTTGAGTTTTGAGGGTTTTTTTGTACTTTGTGAACAACCTTATTCCTATAGCCCAACCAATGTTGCCTGAAGAGATTCTCTCCCCTGCTGACTCCATATTCTGGTACTTACCCCCTGAGTGGTATGGGAGGGAGGTACATCATAAGTGTCCTTTGGGTATCTGGATGGGTACTCGTACACGTAGCCATGGCCTGTCCTTACTGGGGTTATTACCTGTGAAGGAGAGGACACACAGGTAAAATTTAAAGCCTGAGTCTTGAGTGAACCCTCTGAGTTCCCAGTCAGACACTCATCCCTCTTCTCTCACCCATAAAAAGAAAAAATAAAAAAGACCCAAAGAAGGAAAAGACAAAAGAAAGGAGACAAAGAGACACAGCAGGTCCAAAACCCTTTAAATCCCTCTTCAGTCCCCTTGAAGAACAAATTCCGGAAATATCTCTGTCATCTTCCTGTGGTTACAAAATCACCTCAAACTTGTTCAGATAGAGTCTCAATTCCCAAAATACACTTTAAAGGAGAGTCATTTTTAAATGATGAAAGTCCTAGATTATCCCTTTAGACTAATAAAACTCTTCTTACATCAAAATGGTAGCATAGTGAATTTTTTTTTTCCAAATAATAGAGTTCAGCCACTTAACATTCCTCTCCTGTCTCCCCTAGGATGCCTCCTTATCCGACAAACACTATTATTATGATTCTAACTAAAATTCCTTCAGTCACTAGAGTACTTTTACAAAGTGAATACTCAAACAGTATTGCCCTTAGAAGTCTCCAGGAGCTTTCAATCTAAGTTATGAAACAAATGAAATACTGGGTCAGGGAGTGACTGGCAACAGAATTCAGGTCTCAGTCCCTTGTGCTAATTATTTTCTCATTTTCACTAGGGAAGCTAACATCCCAGACAGTACCTACAAGGGACGTCAAAGGTCAAATACATTCATCACATCTTTGGTATTTGGAATCACTGCCAATGAAATGAATCTTACCTGACAGCCTCATATTTTCACAGCTATATAGTTCACTGGGGGAGCCCTGGTGGTGTAGTGGATAAGGCATTTGGCTGCTAACCAGAAGGTCAGTGGTTCAAACCCACCAGCCGCTCTGCAGAAGGAAGATGGGGCGATCTACTTCTGTGAAGATTTATAGCCTTGAAACCCAATGAGGGTCACTATGAGTCGAAATCGAATTGATGGCAGTGAGTTTGGTTTATACTTCACTGGAAGGAGCCCTGGTGGTGCAGTGGTTAGGTACTCAGCTGCTAACTGAAAGGCCAATGGTTCAAACATACCAGAAAGACGTGGCAGTCTGCTTCCATAAAGATTTACGGAAACCCTGTGGGGCAGTTCTACTCTGTCCTAAATGGTCCTTATGAGTCGGAATTGGCTGTGAGTTTGGTTTGGTATCCTTCACTAGTGTCCTAAATAGAGGTAGAGAAATTACTTGAACTTAACTCATTTTGAAATATATTTAAACCTCCAAAAAACTAAAAACCAAAGTCACTGCCATTGAGACAAATCCAATTTGTAATGACCCTATAGAAGAGTAGAACCATAGGGTTCCCAAGGCTGTAAATCTTTACAGAAGCAGACTGCCTCATCCTTTTCCCACAGAGTGGCTGGTAGGTTCAAACTGCCAATGTTGTGGTTAGCAGCCAAGTGCCTTAACCACTAACCCAAACTCACTGCCGTCGAGTCGATTCAACTCATAGTGACCCCTCCTTGGGTTTCTGAGGCAGTATCTCTATGGAAGTAGATTGCTCAACCTTCCTTCTGAGGAGTGGCTGGTGGGTTTGAACTGCCAGCCTTCTGGTTAGCAGTCAAATGCCTTAGGCACTATGCCACCAGAGCTCCTTTAAATCCTCCAAAGGCTTCTAAATCACCAGGGTCTTGTTTCTTCTGCCTAACTACCTGCCCCCTGCCCCCAACCACCACTAATCACTAGCAGTGCCCACCTCAAATATAGCTCATGACATCTTTGCAGACATTGCTCACAGACACTGCAAATGTTGATTGTTGCCTAATAAACCCTCATCTTTTATCCTTTCTCTAATGTGAAAACTCTGGTGTCAGGCTGCCTATGAAACTGTGAAAAGTGCTCCATTGGTCCAGCTTCTGCTGAAAAGAGCACAGCACAGCTAAATGCACTAATGCCCTTCTCCCCAGGGGCTCTGAAATGCCCAAGTTCAATTTGATTTTAAATCCCTAGTGCATACAACTGGTTATGATTAGAATGCATTTCCACTAACTCTCCCCACTGCCTCAGGTGTAAAAAAAAGGAACCTATTGCTTTAAGCTTTGTTGGCACGGGATATAAAGAACCATTTATAGAGTGGCCACTGAACTGTGCCCAGCAGATCTTCCTTTTAAAAGCAGGATGCCCTCTGCTAAAGAAAAACACACTGTGTTCCTAATGCCCCCCTGCCGTTTTTTTTTTAAACAATTTTTTTGCACTCATTATTGTCTAGGAGAAATGAGGTATTTTCTTGTCTATCTCATCAGCTCCTCTATTTTTAGCTTTCTATTTTGGCTTTATAATAGAAACTGCTCTCACAACACAGCCTTTGTTCAGTCTTGAAAAGTTCCTAAGAGTGGACTCTATCTCAAAGGCCAAGTAAGTAATCATGCAAATGGAAAACCAAGCTGGTTATTCTGAAGTCCAGCTTAGCTGTTTCATTTTTGGCTTAAAAAAGGGAGGGGGCTGGGTCTGAAAACAGTGCTTGGTGAAATGTAAACGTTGAAAATGACCCCCGGAAAGCAAGGTCATGGACAAAGTTTTTCCTCAATTTGTGGCTCTTCCCTGGCTGGGAAGTTCAGGCTTCCCGGTATTTAAGATCTTACTTCCTGCCAAATGTCACAGAACCTCAACGTGCTCTCTCTTTCTCATTTAGAGAATGCCTGTGGTCATCTGGTTTTGAAAAACTTTGCATTCCAAACCAGTCATTTTCCTTGTTTATGCATTAAAAGAAACAGATGGTGAAAACCACAGGGGGGAAAAAGCCAACAAAATACAACCAACCCCCAATTCCAGCACTCCCCAATGCGACCATCTAATCCACCCTGGTCCACAAATGGCATCTAAGGAGGCCCAGTGTTTTGCATCTGGTCAGACACGTCCAGGGCATGTAGGGATCCACTCTGTGAAGTCTGAAGGAATGAGAGCTCCAAGTCCTCCTGTGGACATTCTCGTTTCTCCTCAGTGCACTGCTGGGTGATTTCCACGCCAATTGTGTGTTCTCTTCTCTGAGGAAAGTGCTGACCATGCCGTGCCTTATGAAGTATCCAGTTTTGTGGTTCATTAATTCTTTTTCTTCCTGCTTCACATTAAGTACAAAAAAAAAAAAAAAAAACGCCTTTCTACTGTTTCCCCTACTCCCGAGCCCCCAAATTACCTCAGCTGGAGAAGACACCAAGGTCTGGCTATGAGGGCAAGGAAAGCTTGTAGGAATCCTCCTGGGCATTTATGCAGCAAGGCATTGATGGAATTACTACACAAAGGGCATTTTAAAACTAATGTTCTCAATGAAATCAAGGCAGGTTTTTAATTTCCTTTTTCTCCTTGTTTGTTTTCTTTTCTGCATTCCTTCCATTCTGTGTGTTTATTTATAGTTACAAGGGCTTAACCTTAGGTAAATTGCCAAAATGACCTCTTAATTCATTAGTGTTGCCACAAAAGGGGCTAAATTGTGGAGTCTCCGAGGGCTCTGTGACCCACCGTCACTGCCACTGCCGTAATTCCTTCTGTGATTATCCTGTTGAGGAACTGCATTTACCAAATATGGTTTTTCTTTCCCTCCAGTGCCTAAAAAAGGACATCCCTCTTGGTAGAGGGTCAGAGAAAAAGAGGAAACCCTCAACCAGATGGATTGACACAGTTGCTGCAACAATAGGCTTGAGCACAGCAAAGATGGTGAGGATGGGGCAGGACCAGGCAGTGTTATGTTCTGTTGCACATGGGGTTGCTATGAGTTGGAACCGACTCTGTTACATCTAACAAAACATTCCTGAGTGGCATAGATGGTTAAGAGCTGGATTACTAGCTGAAAGTTTGATATAAACCACCCACCCAGAGGTGCCTCAGAAGACAGGCCTGATGATCTGCTTCCAAGAGGTCATGGCCTTGAAAACACTATGGAGTGAGTAGTTCTATTCTGCTCAGAATCAATTTGATGACAGTGGAAAACAACATGAGGAATCCAACCTACCTCAGACTGTAGTGCCATTCTTGTCAACTAAGGCTGAGACTTTGGAAAGAGCTATAAAGGACAGAAGAATGGCTGTGTTGTTGTTGTTGTTATGTGCCCCCGAGTTGAACCTGACTCACAGCCACTCCTCCTTGGGTTTCCGAGGCAGTATCACTACGGAAGTAGATTGCCCAACCTTCTTTCCAAGGAGTTTGAACCGCCAGCCTTCTGGTTAGCAGTCAAGTGCCTTAGGCGCTATGCTACCAGAGCTCCCAGAAGAATGGTAGACTGTAGAAATTCAGAGAAGGAATAGGCTACTTAATAAATCTCCAAGGATGGCTCTAGCAGGTAAGACCAAAAGCCCAAAGCCTAGGGTTATGCTAGCTGTCTAATTTATCTGCCTACATAAAAACAAACAAATATACATGGCTTGCCCCCACCTTCACACACACCTTGATGGTGTTTGATTCACACAATTTTTGGCCTCAGATCCTGTGTGTCATGAGCTATTTTTGAAGATACTTTAGGTATTCTCATGTCTCATAATTTTAAGGGCCATGTATGCTGAAATTTGAAAGAGAAGCATGTGTTTGGGGTGGTGGCAGTGGTTAGGGGATGCAGAAGACCAACTTGTACAAGAATCAGTGTTGATTAGGAACCATTGAGTAAAGTTTATGGTGACAGAAAATCTGGCAACAGATGGATATAGGTGATGTCTGTACAACATGATTAATGTAATCAATGTCACTGACTTGTACATGTAAAAAATGTTGAGTTGGCAAATGTTGTGTTATATATATTTTTACCACACACACATACTCACACACACATAAACTATTAAAGAAAGAAAAAAATATACATATATCCGAGGATTGGAAGGAAGGAATCCTCAGGGGTTCTATCATCACTCATGTCTCCACATTCAGTTTGCCTAGGCTGGCTCCTTTAGACAGATCCAGGGTCTTACTGTCAGATGCCTGCTGGGCAGAGCACATAGAATTCAGGGCAGAACCAAGGGATGCTTGCGTACTGG